GGCTGAGAAGGAGAGCATGGGGTCAGATCCCACTGGCTGGAGGGTCTGTGGTGGCAGGAAGAAGAGTGGGAGGAAGTCGGTCCTGGCGAGCACATTTCATCACGTTGAGGTTCAGATGATGGAGGGAGAGCAGGGACACAGAACCGGAGCTTGGGGGAGACTAGAGATGGTCCTGTGCACCTGGAAAAGGACAGGCACCTGTGCTGGACATCTGTACACGATTAAGCCAGGACAGCGTAGAGGCTAAGTGTGCACACTGTCACCAAGCTGCTGGGATTGAGCCCTGGTTCCCCTGCTCATGAGCTGTGTGGCTGTGTGCCCTCCAGTGAGTTACTTAATTTCTTGGTGCCTCAGTATCTCCATTTGCAAAACAGGGTAATAATAGTATCTGCCTCACACAGCTGTTGAGAGGACTAAATGAGTTACTACAAGGGAAGTGCTCAGAGCAGTACCCCACAGAGCTCACAGCGTGTGGTAGCTATCATTAGTACTATCAGCATCATCATCATCGTGATTATTTAAGTGGTGTCTCCCATCCACCCCTGGGAGCAGGTGCAGCAGGTATGAACAGCCCCCTTTTTAGAGATGTGGAAACAGAGGCTTAGGAAGTTGGGAGACCTGCCCATGGTCACCTGGCAGGACCTGGACCTGGGTCCTCAGATTCCCATAATCCACACCCTTCACCAGAAGCTTAGGGTGGGACTGGAGGAAGAAGATGGTCAGCAAAGTTCGAAGGAGATGCTCCCGGCCCCAGAGCTGAGTGAGGAGTAAGCCTCTCTGGCAGCCACACTGTGGGTGGGAGTGGAGCTGAGTGCCTGCCAGGACAGCCCTTTTCCATCCTTTATACCCCAGCTCCTCTGGGATGAGCTCACCTTCAGCCTTGCCAGCTTCAAACCTGCTGAGCAGCCATCCTGCCCCCAGATGAGTGGCTCTGATTGCGGCCAAGTTCCCCAGAGACTGCACTCCATCCAGCTGGCTTGGGGCTCAGTGCCTCACCTGCCTGGAACTGCAGGGGGTACAAGGGTACAAGGAGGGACCCCTGCGGGGGGCTCACGGGTAGCATGCTCCCTTCTTGAGTCGGTCTGCTGAGCAGAGCTGGCAGGATCCAAGCTGATGTCATCCAAATAACCCAGCTCATTCTCTTTAATTTTGGAGACGATTATTTGCTCAGAGAACCACCTGCCCCTCTCTCAGTGCCTCCAGCCTCTCCCCACCCCCGCTACTCCTACCCACCAGCAGCCACATTCTGCTTCCTCAGACTGTATTGCTTAGGTTCTGCCTGGCTCAAGAGCCCTCAATGGCTCCCTATCACTCATCCTATCACATACAGAGCTTGGGCTCTGTGAGTCCTCACCTGTGGTTGCCCTTCACTAGTACTTGCTGCGGCTGCAGGGTACTTTCCTCACAAATGCCCTTCCTGGACTGCTTTTGCCATTCCGCATTGCCAGTCTACCCAAGGTTTTTTCCCCTAACAGACTGGAACCCAAACCCCCTCCTCCAGGCAGCCCTTGTGGATTCAGCGTCCCCTCTCCTCTGTGTTTTTTCTTTTTCTCTCATCTAGCAAGTACTCTCTTGGATTATACTAGATTTCTTGCCTGTCTCCCTCTGAGACCTTCTCTCGTGGTTTATCAGACCCTAAAGGCTGAGAGTAAGGAGCCAATGGGTCTCGACTGGAGCCATGGGATCACAAGCATGTCCAACTGATCACCACAATGTAGAAACAAAGACCACCAAAAAAAGCTACAAATTATTTAGGTAAATGAAATAAAACATTTTGGCTATAAAATCAAGAACCATACAAATGTCATTTATTTAACAAGCAATTTAAATTTTCCTTGAGTGTCTAAGGAAAACTATGGGGTCCTGGAAACTTGGGGGTTTGATTCTCTGGTATGACATACTTCCCCACCATTTCACAAATGAGTAAAACGGAGACTCAGAGATGTCCGTGCCTGGCTCCAAATTTAATTCTCGCCTAGAAAACCAAGTGATCCTGATACCTCAAAGGGTGTGAGGGAAGATGAAGCTGGGACATGGGATGTAGGAAATTGTCTCCAGTCTCCCCTGCCAGCGGCAGAGGTATCCCAAGGCAGGGGGCTCTGCTTCCTCCTACCCCTGAATCTCTCCAGAGACTTAAAGCTAGGGCGGGGCCTTCGTAACCTTGCTGAACTGTGGCTCTGTTCTGGTTTCCTTCTGTCCCTCCCTTTTTCCTGCAGCAAAAACACAGACACCCTAGGAGACCTACATGGGCCCACCCTTCCTGTGGGTGGTCCAAAACTCTTCACCTTCCTCTCCTATCATCATCCTCATCAACAACATTGGGTGTTTCATTCCCGATGGCCAGTATCTGATTAACTACTTCACGCTAAGGTGTTAATGACTTGTTAATAGCTTGATGAGATGCTTTTCCCAGGGACACCTGCCTTTGGATGGATCCAGAAACTAAGTTCTTTAAGAACAGAATGCTTGGTGTTGCCCCCCTCAGCACCTGGTAGGTGCTCAGTAAGTATCTGATAAATGGATCAATTGTGAGAGGACTAATGTTTGAAAAGTGTTTCCTACTGAGTTTTGCACTCGGCAGATACTTGTTAGACAGCGGCGATTATTATTCTTTCTAATGGCGAATTTTCCATGACCAGACATGGTCTGAGTGGAGAGATTCCTTAAGCCTGGGGTCTCTGGGAACATCAGTCCCTCCTTGTCCTCCAACAGCAGATGACACCGTATGGAGATGTGCTGATCCAGACGTCCTCTTCCAGAGGACAGGAAGAAGGACAGAGAGCAGAAGAGGAGAGGACAGCCTGAGTCCTAACTTCCACTTTACTCCCTACTTTTGGTCATTGAAATATCTGTTAAACACTGAATAAGCAGCAGGCACATATCAAGCACTTCACACGGATCAGTGCCTGTAATTGTCACTACTACCCTATGAGGAGTTTATTATCCCATTTATGTCAGGGAAATGGAAGCTTCGAGAGGTTATGTGCTGCTGGGTGGTGGGGTGGGATTCAGACCCCTGCAGCCAGCTCCTCGTCTGGGCTCCTACCTGGTGGCCTTCTAGCTGGATGCAGGCCCAGGGGCTCCCTGAAGGTGCACTGTCCCTGCTGTTTGGTCGCTGCTCCAACAACCGGCAGTCCTCTGGCACATGGGAAGGGATGTCCAGAGGCTGGTCTTGGGCCCCGAGGAAAGGTACAGAGGGAGGAGCTGACTGGGAGACACTGGACCTTCACCCAGACCCCAGGTCCTAGCGAACACAGCAGCTCAGGTCTCAGTGGACAGAAGAGTTCAGCACACAGAGGAGGAGACGGGGTTAAACCAGGGTTTGAAGTGTTGTTTTGAAAGAGCAGAGGATTTGGATCAGAAGAGTTGGGGAGAAAAGGTGTTTCAGGCTGCATAGGGATTTTCCTTGCAAAACCAAGGAAATATTTGGAGATAAGGAATGTGGGTGAGATGTCCCTGGCTGAGGCAGGGAACAGTCAGGACGACAGTCGTGGGCAGGGTGGGACAGGATGGCAGCTGTGGGGATGTCGAAGCCTGAGCTGGTGAGCTGTTACGCACATCCCAGTGAAGCCATACAGCCAGCGAAGCCATCAAGGGGGACATAGGGCTAGGATGGGTTCCAAGAGCTGGGAAAAGCCTTTAGCATTAGACCACTAGCCCCCATGTCCCCTACAGTGGGCACCTGCCTGGCACAGAGAAGCTTTCAATAGAGGTGACCGGAGGGAGAAAAGGAGGGATGGAGGGAGGGTGGGAGGAATAACTAGGGGGTCTTTGAGCCGAAGGACCATCTACTTTCCTTACAAAGGAACACTGAGATGACATATGACACAGCCTTCAGAGGGAACTCATGGGAGCAGCCCACAGAGTCACTGTGGAGATGCCTGCTCTCTGGGGGGCTCCCAGCCAGCCTGGACCTCTGGCTCACATGCGTCTGGAGAGAGGCATCAGGGTTCAATGTCACCCGACAGCAGCTCCTCCATTTGATCTCTAAAGAGATGGTCCCAAACAAACAACAAACAAGCAAACAAATATTTCCTGTCCTCAGCTGCTGCTGCTCTTACTAACAGATACACATCAGAAGGAAGAAATGTGCAGACATCCCCCGCTGGTACAGGAGTCTTCCCTCGAAGCCTCCAGGCCCTGGCGAGCCTCTCTCTGCCATTTCCCTGCCTCCTCTGTGCTGACTGCCTGAATTTTCACCCACCTGCAGCAATCCCAGCCTCCTTCACTCTGTCCAGCATTTGGATCAGACAATGATCGTGACTTGTGTGGCCTCCCTCCTGCCTTGTAGGAGTTTGAGAGAGGTGAAGTGTGGAGATCCCAGTTCTTGGAGAACTGATGAAAGCATATGACTCCCCATGGGCTCATGTCCTGTGCCAGGGAGAAGGTCACTCCACTCCACACGGCCCAGCAGACATGGCCACTGTCCTCTGTGGGTTAGGTGAAGGGGGCACCAGTGGGGTGTCTCTCTGGGAGGCCTGAATGAAGGGGGTCTTTCCATGAAAGAGGAGGATACACCTATGGATGGAGCCCCCAGATACTATACCCAGGAGTCTGCCCTGTCCGAGGGTCTATCTCCTTCTAACTCCCTGAGCCCCCAGGAGGAAGTCCATGACCCAGAGATTAATCAGGATAGGGATGGTGAAGTCCAGTGACATCCCTCTGGAGAGGCTGGGGCCTGGGGCAAATTACCCTATAACAGCAGGTTAATTAGATAAAACCCAAATTACATGAGCAAGGCTTGCAAGCCCAGCAATTTGAAGGTTTCATGTTGTTTCAGAGGTGGGGAGGGCTTGATCTCTAGCTCAGCATAGAGAAAATGACTTCTTGCTCCCAGGCAAGTCAAACCCATGAATTAAGCTCTTGACTGCCCATCCATGAGCCCCAACGCCAAGCACATATAAGGCAGGGTGCCTGCCGGTCCTCACTGCAACCTGTAGAGCCTGTGTAGGATTTGGTCTTCATCCCTCCTGCATCTGAACCCTCTCTCCACCACCAGCATGAGCCGCCAATTCACCTGCAAGTCGGGAGCTGCCACCAAGGGGGGCTTCAGTGGCTGCTCAGCGGTGCTCTCAGGGGGCAGCTCATCCTCCTACCGGGCAGGGGGCAAAGGGATCAGCGGGGGCTTTGGAAGCCGGAGCCTCTACAGCCTGGGGGGCATCCGGAATATCTCCTTCAACATGACCAGCGGCAGCGGAAAGAGTGGAGGCTATGGGTTTGGTCGAGGCCGGGCCAGTGGCTTTGCTGGCAGCATGTTTGGCAGTGTGGCCCTGGGGCCTGTGTGTCCATCTGTGTGCCCTCCAGGGGGCATCCATCAGGTCACTGTCAACGAAAGCCTCCTGGCCCCCCTCAATGTGGAGCTGGACCCGGAGATCCAGAAAGTGCGAGCCCAGGAGCGGGAGCAGATCAAGGCTCTGAACAACAAGTTTGCCTCTTTCATTGACAAGGTGGGTCTAACCTTCTCTTCTCAGGGCATGAGCTTCTGTTACAGGAGCAGGGATTCAGTTTAGATATGAGGAGGCACTGAATGTGGATAAAGCAGATGTTTTCTTTCATTGAGGTGACTTATGTATGGTTCCCTGCAGTCGTTCTCAAGAGAACACAGAGGGAGGTCTGTCTCTACTGGCAGAGGCTGATGGGGGCTACTGGCAGGACCTCCAAAGGAAAGATCTCTGTCTCTTAATCGAGGGTTGGCTTGGTGCCATAGCTAAGCTTGGGGTCCGTGCAGGCTGTGTGTGGAAAAAGCAGTGAGAGGGAGCACCTGGGTGGCTCAGTGGGTTAAGCCTCTACCTTCAGCTCAGGTCATGATCTCAGGGTCCTGGGATTGATCCCCACATTGGGCTCTTTGCTCAGCAGGGAGCCTACTTCTCCCCCCCTCTCTCTCTGCCTGCCTCTCTGCCTACTTGTGATCTTGCCCTGTCAAATAAATAAACAAAATCTTAAAAAAAAATAAAAAAAAAAAAAAGCAGTGAGAGGGAATCTGCCCCAGAGTCTTCCTCTCGTCCATTATCAGCAGGTCTCATCCACTAGTCATTTGACGGGTCATTGCCAGATGGCTTGGCCATGGGCATTTTTTTCACTTGGCTAAGGACTCAAGAGAGAAGCAGAAGAGTGCAGTGGGGAGGACGCCTCCACAGTGCTCTGAAGTCAGACCTAGCTTCTGCTCTGGCCCCATCACTTACCAGCTGGGTCTTGACTAAGCCAGCCACGGAGCAGCTGTGTGGAGAGTTATTTATTCTGTCTGCACCTCTGTTTCCTTATCTCTATAATGCAGATAATAGCCTGCCTCTCCGGGGTTTTGTCAGGTTGATAAAAGAAAATGCATGTGAAGATCTTGGCACAGTGCCTCCTCCCACAGACGGAAGTGCTCCGAAGGGATGGTTAGCGTTACTATCATTTTCATCTTCAGAGAGATGGGGGAGGAGGGTTGAGAAGGGGAGGATCCAGGGTCTGGAGGAGGGCTCAAGGCATCATCTAAGCCAGAGATGCCCCTGACTTTTGATAGATGAGAAATTATTACTCTCATTCTATGAGTTGCAAAAGCATGGAGGGACATGCCTTGCCAGGGTATGGCATCTGGGGTGGGAGCAGGAGGGAGGAAGGTGAGACCCACTCCTGGGCGCTGGGGGCTACGTTGACTAAATGACAATAAGGCACCAAGGGTGGGTCAACCCAGGACAAAGCTTATGCTTGAAATGGGCATTGGCCATTGGAGCCTCCCCATCTCCCCACCCCAAGCCCCAGCTCTAGACTCCTGCTCCGAGCATCCCTTGTTTGCCTCAGGGGCCAGCACTGTCCCTGTGACTTTATTCCTCAGAATGAGGACACAACCTATTTGTGATCCTGACAGTCCAATGTGTAGCCCAGATGCCAGTTGTGGCGTCCTGGGTGTAGGGTTTACTCTGCGACTAACGCTCAGTCTTAGGGATATACGTGAAAGAGTCAGGACTGATTAAACCAAACCAAGGCTGGATGATCTGCAGGGGGCAAGCAGTTTGGCAGCTGTTCCCATCTCAACGCTGAATCCCAGCCAGTTTTTGGAGGTCCTGTGCTTATGATAATAGAGAACACAACCTTATTTAGATAATGGCTGTGCTCATGTGGATTAAGTCATATTTTAAAAGTCGTGCCCCCCCACCCAAACTGCACAAGAGAAAAGTATGTAGATCCCCTCCCTCTGGTCAGTTTCTTGGCCCAGTGAGGTGACAGTGGCATGGGGAGCCCTATTTATCCATCCTGCCCCACGTGCCATGCTTGCTCTGTGGAAGATGGTTCTAAGGGGCTGAACTAGGGCGGAGGGAGGAGGCCATGAGCAATGATGGAGCTGGGGCCTGATGCAGAAATTTAGAACACCCAGAAGCTCTTGGCCCATTGAGCCTCACTGAGTTTGATAGGCTACAAAATGAAGAGCAGATTCCCTTCTGCAGAACGGTCAACTTTTCCAAAGATGGACCCAGCCTGACCCTGTCTTGGTAGTTTTTAGGCACTCCCCTATCCTGAGCTGGATTGGCCATAATGGGGTTCTAAGTGACTGGATGCATGAGTTATGGGACACAAGTCTGGGTTTATTTCTGGGCTCCCCCTCTTAACAAACTGGTAGACCATGGAAAGAGGCTCAACTTCTCTATGGGTCCATTTCCTTCCTATCTAATGGGGTTGACAACTCGCCCGCCTCGTACAGCTGTTGTGAGCGGGTTAAGGAGAAAATGCAGGCAGAGCGCCTTGCACAGAGCCTTGTGAATGACAGGTGTGACTATTCCCATGGGAGCTCAACAGTTTCTGCTCTTTGGGTCCCAGGTGCGGTTCCTGGAGCAGCAGAACCAGGTGCTGGAGACCAAGTGGGAGCTGCTGCAGCAGCTGGACCTGAACAACTGCAAGAACAACCTGGAGCCCATCCTCGAGGGCTACATCAGCAACCTGCGGAAGCAGCTGGAGACGCTGTCCGGGGACAGGGTGCGGCTGGACTCGGAGCTGAGGAGCGTGCGGGATGTGGTGGAGGACTACAAGAAGAAGTGAGTGGGGAAGGGATCCCCCTGCAGCTGGACAGTTGTCCCTTTCCTCTGAGCTCCTTCTGCAGGAGTGGCAGCTACCCCCGGCTTAAAGTTTTTGGAGATGAGGGGCATTGTTCTTCGTCTTACCAGGCAGAATCATCCCAACACAACTCTGGAAACTGCTCTCTGCTCCTCCAGCCTCTGGTCTGGCCCTTGGGACAAATGTCCATTGAGCTGAACAGTGGTCAAAGGACCTTATCTGCCTGGATGAGGGAAACCTTGATGAAGCTACTCATAATTTCCTGGAGCTTCTGGGTCCTCACTGGAGGAATGGCTATGAGGAGGAACAAAGAAAACACTCCCATTCATTTGTAAGGCTTCATTCAAATTTTCAAGGAAGAGTTTGCTTCTTGCTTCCTGTAAGATTTCCCATAGAACATTTGCTCCACATGCTCTTACCTCAGTTTTGTAGCTGGATCTTCAATAATCACCTTTTTTTCCCCTCCAGACTTAGTTACCATGTCCCCTCCTCCAGGAAGCCTTCCTTGCCAGGTGGCCTCACTAGCCCAGGTCTCTGTGGCCCATTAGCATCTGTCCCTCAAATGACCATACTGCCTCTTAAAGTTTTCTTTGAGTGAAAGAGGTTTTCAGTGAGAAGGTTCTAAGTGAGACATATTCACTGACAAAGCTCTGGCATTCTTGCAGGTATGAGGAAGAAATCAACAGGCGAACAGCTGCAGAGAATGAGTTTGTGTTGCTCAAGAAGGTGAGAGGCAAGACAGGCCTTGAGTCCAGGGCTGGCTTGGGACCAGAGAGAGCTGAGCTTAGCAGTATCCTCTGCTCTCAGTGAAAGAGCTGATTCCAAACTAATGACGTAAAGGCTGAGGAGAAACACAATGGACTATCCAAAAAGGGAATGAAAAGGCAGAGAGATGATGGCCTTTCTGAGTGTTTCATGTCTACAGTAAAAAACAGCAGAAGATGACACACAGGGGCTCCCCTGCAGCCACAGGGCCCAACTTACACATCAAAGGGATGACTGACAGCAGCCTGGCTGGGGCTCCCTTCCTTGGGGGGGGTACCCCATCCCTGCTGAAGGAGCAGGATTGTGCAAGGCTGGGCCTTTTGCTCCGTCGTCTCCTCTCCCATGAGCCTCTCAGAGAGAAAAGGGCAACTATTTTAGTGTGCCGGGCACCCAGGCTGGGGTGTTTCCTTCTCTGCTGCACTGGCAGTGACCAAGGGATGTTGGGGGCATCTTCCAGGATGTGGATGCTGCTTATGCCAATAAGGTTGAGCTTCAGGCCAAAGTGGACTCCATGGACCAGGAGATCAAGTTCTTCAAGTGTCTCTATGAAGCCGTAAGTCTCTGTCTCCACCCACCCGTCTGCTGGCAGTAAGTAAAACTCTGTTCTGGGGGCTGAGAGAGGCTCTTTGATCTCAGGGAGACCCCGTGGTTAGCCATTCATCTCCCACTTCAGCCCTGAGAGGCTCCCAGTCTCCACCTTCTGGGTGGAAAGGAAATGGTCCATGTCCTGGCTTCATGGTGGCAGGAATCTATCTGCGGCCTGGAGGAAACTCACTTTGCCCAGGGAGCAACAGCTTTGCCCCAGAGCCTCTAAGTTAGCATCACCCAGATTTGCTTATCTTGCTTGAAGGAATGGGTGGGAGGGCTGTTAGCCTCTGAAAGTCAAGACGTGAGACCAGCCTTGTTTCCATATAGGAGATTGCTCAGATCCAGTCCCACATCAGCGATATGTCCGTCATCCTGTCCATGGACAACAACCGGGATCTGAACTTGGACAGCATCATTGATGAGGTCCGTGCCCAGTATGAGGAGATCGCCCTGAAAAGCAAGGCCGAGGCCGAGGCGCTGTACCAGACCAAGGTGAGCTGGGCTGAAGCAGGACTGGGGAGGGCAACCCCAGCAGGCATGAGGACTGGGCCTGATCATTCTCAGAACAGAGGCCATGTCCAGTTAAGTGTCTAACATGTCCTTCCCCCATGACATCAGCAATCCCGAGATATCATGTGGTCCTATGGACCATCCAGCATGCTCACCATGCTCTGTGCTTTGGGGTCCCAGTTCCAGGAGCTACAGCTGGCAGCTGGCCGGCACGGGGATGACCTCAAGAACACCAAGAATGAGATCTCAGAGCTCACCCGGCTCATCCAGAGAATCCGCTCAGAGATTGAGAATGTGAAGAAGCAGGTGAGGGAACTGGTTGCCCATGGCCTGGGGCAGGAGGGCATAATTGGAGGGGGAAAGGGTTGGTCAAGAATATCAGCCTCTCAAATCTCTGCCCATGAAAGGAAAGGAACCAATGAGGTCACTGCCTCAAATACTTAGAGCAGACATCCCTGGGGCGTCTCATCTCCCACTCTCCCCAAGAACCTCTGCTTTGATGCCCTTCCTACGGGAAGCCGTCTCTCTCATTCCCCAGAATGGGGTAGGGCCACACCCCCCTGTGCCTTCTGCCTTAATCGCATGCTGTTCTGGCATCTGTGCTTCTCTTGTCCTTGTCACACTTTGGTGATTGCCTCACAGCAACCTGTCCCTTCTTCCATGGAACTGGAGGAAGGCAGGGAGCTGGCTGTTCTGTTCCCCCATTGCTTTTCCAGCATCTAGTACAGTGCCAGGCCATAGTAACAGCTTAATAAACATTTGTTAGTGAAATGACTGACAAGTGGGCTCAGAGAGCGCCATTCAAGAGCCTTCTGTAACTATTTAACTATCAGTAAGGCCTTGCTCAAACTCTTCCCAGGGCTCTAGGCTGCAGTCTCAGCTTGAGTAGATGGGGAGACAGGATGAGGTTACAGAATAACGACAGCGGTGGCTCTTATCATTTTCTCACCCAGAAGTGTCTCAAAGATTCTATGAGGCAAGAGCTACCCATTGTTACAAATGAGGAAACCTTAGAGAGGTTAAGTGGGTTGCAAGCTGGCGAATGGCAGAGCTGTGATTGGAACCCACGATGACTCCTAGTCCAGTGCTCTTTCCACCTTCCCAGGGGCTTTAACACTTAGTGACTCCATGACGTGGGGCAAGTTAGCTGTCCTCTGCACAAGCGAGTTTAAGGACTGCATGAGCTAAGACACACAAAAGGCATGTCGGGGCTGAGGGTAGTGCCAGGCATATGGTAAGCACTTGGGAAGTAATAGTTAGTTCTAGGGAACCTCCTTCCCTGTGCCCCTCATCTGTGGTCCTATGTACCTGGGCAGCCACTCTCATTGTACCCACAACACAACATTCTAAGGATCTGTCATCCCAGACTTGAAACAACTCAAGAGCAGAAAGCTCTTCTGTATCCTTGGCACATGGATGACCAAGTAAATGTCTTCCTAATGAACTGACGTGGTACTGGCCACAATCATAGGAGAGCAGGAGGGCAGGGTGCACTATTGATCATCACCACCAATGCCTAAATACAAGCAAGTGGAGATAGAGCTAGGAAGGACTTGCTGGCCCCAGAAGGGGCTCCAGCCTATTAGAGGAGTGGGAGGTGGGAAAGATAGAAGTGGGCATCCCCACCTAGGAGTCTCCAAGCACTAGTGGGGTTTGGATGTGGATGACTCTAATCACCCCGTCCAGTTTTCCAGCTTCTTTGATTCCCTGTTTAGGCTTCCAACCTGGAGACGGCCATCGCGGATGCTGAGCAGAGGGGTGACAATGCCCTGAAGGACGCCCGGGCCAAGCTGGATGAGCTGGAGTCCGCCCTGCACCAGGCCAAGGAGGAGCTGGCCCGGATGCTGCGCGAGTACCAGGAGCTCATGAGCCTGAAGCTGGCCCTGGACATGGAGATCGCCACCTACCGCAAGCTGCTGGAGAGCGAGGAGTGCAGGTGGGGGGCGGTGCTCTGGCAGGAAAGGCGGGGGAGGGGTGAGGGGGGTTTGAGAAGGACAAAAGAGAATGCTTAACATACTCATCCAGAAAAGATGAGTCCTTGGGAGTGAAGGGGTGGTGATGATGGGAATAATAACAGTAATAAATAATACCTACGCCTGCGTGAGCCCTCACTCATGCCAAGCACTGCACCTCAGCGATTAGCTCATTCCATTTTACAATTTTCCTGGGTATACCTCAGCATACTACCACCCCCCCAACCCCAACCAAAAAATAAAAAAATAAACCCCACCCCATTACTATGTTAGGCCTTCTTGTTCCATCATCCTTACCTGTCCAGAAATAAGATGAGCTTATCAGACGTGTCCCAGGGCAACCACTCCAGCTTCCCCAATGTTCTCAGCAGCCGAGAAAGACTCAGGGCTGAGGCCGGTCCTTGGGAAGTGTGCATGTCAGCCTGCATGTGTACCTTGTGCCTACTGTTTGATTCGGGTTTTTGCCTGCTTACCCCCAAAGATTCAGGGGCTACAGCCACAGCTTCCTAAGCTCTGCTTTCACCAAAAGCCCAGGAAATTTCCAGAGGTGCCTATTGGGTTCAAAAACCCACAACAGGCCGGTGGGGATACTAGCTTTGAGGTTAATAGACTGTGGGTTGGATGACTGCTTGCTCTTACTTTATTTCTCTCCCTTACAGGATGTCAGGAGAATTTCCCTCCCCAGTCAGCATCTGTAAGTACTTGTGTGCTGGGCCCTAGAACTGTAGAATCTGCAGACAGGAAAGGGCCTTAGTTGCACCCCGTGTGTGTAGCTGAGCAAACTCAGGACCGGGGAGCAAAAACTTTGAGATCACACAGCCACATAGCAGAGGCATAGCCAGCAATCAGTTCTCCTGACTCCCAGAGCAGAGTTCTTCCTCCCTATCCCTCTGTCTCCCTGCTCCCAGGGGGTGGCCTCTAGGAAAGCTAGAAGAGGAAGTAGAGGATGAGTGTCTGTGAGACCTGGGGCACCAGGGCCACAAGTTGCAACCAGCCCTGGGCTGGAGAATTAGAGGCGGCTGAAGGAATTGTTGAATGGGGACCTCAGAGCATAAGCTGACAGTGTTGGATCTCTGTATTTCTCAGCAGGACTAGGAGTTTAACCAGAGCTCCAAAAGATGCCATTTATAGGGCAGCTAGTGAGAGGGAAAGAAAGGTTGGAGGGGAAGTTTGGCAAAAAGGCTAATAGAAGAGGGGGTGTGTATCCAGAAAAACAGGTGGTTGTATTGGTACCTGGACCAAAATGTTAGGCTTCTGAGAATTAATCAGCTAGATTGGGTCTACGGCGGGGGCATGGCAAGGACAGGACCAGGGGGAAGCGGTCTTTGGGCTATTTTCCCCAGGGGAGGGGGCGGAGCCGCGGGGCGGGCACCTAACCCATTGTTCCAAGAGACCCTGAGCCCCGGGGCGGGGGCTGGGGCCTCGCCTAGCCCCGCCCCTGAGGGTACCGCCCCCCGCTGTCCCTCTGCAGCTATCATCAGCAGCACCAGCGGCAGCGGCGGCTATGGCTTCCGGCCCAGCTCCGTGAGCGGCGGCTACGTGGCCAGTAGCAGCAGCTGCATCTCTGGCGTGTGCAGCGTCCGCGGCGGGGACGTCCGGGGCAGGGGCAGCAGCAGTGACTACAAAGATACCCTGGGGAGGGGCTCCAGCCAGAGCACCTCCTCCAAGAAAGCCAGCAGGTAGAGAGGGCTGCCCCCTGCCCTCCCGCCACCCCTGCATCCCCAGCTGTCTTCCACATGCTCTGTCCCCCAGCCTGCTGTCAGCCCCCTCTCCACCCTGCCCTGCCATTGTCCCTCTGGCCATCACACTTCTCCCAGCCTGCGTCTTCCTGAGCCTGGACAGGTGTGGATGGCTAAACTTGGTGAAATTCCTCCTGGTACGTGCCTGGCATTCAGTTTCTTGGCTGAGGTCCCCCAGCCAGGCGATGGGCTCAGCTCCAGGCTCCTGGCCTTCCGCCTTGGACACAACATCCCGCTTAGTCACTAACTACTCTGTCCGGCTACTGGATCTCGGACCCAGGCCCCCCTCTCACACTGGGCCCTCAGTCCCAACAACTGCCTATTCTGGGAGGGCCGAAGGACAAGAGAGCCCAGTCCCCACCACCTGGCCCCATCTCACGGTTCAGGTCTCTCTTCTCTCTCCTGTATCCAGAAACAGAAGAGGCAGCCCCTCCACATCTCCTTTCTTCTTAGAGGTCCTCCCATTGCATCCTCAATAAACAGCACGATCTGATGGCTTGGTCTCTGAGTAGTCAAGGTGTGTACACGTCCGCAGTCCAGAGCCCACAGGAGCAGGCACCACCCAGACACACACAGACACACACACACCGAACACACTGCGGATTGCCTGTGCAACCCGTGTTTCTAGGGGAATTTTCTCCGTAGAGCCGAAAAAACAGAGCACGCATGAAGCGTGGGGCCGAGTTAGGGAGGACGGAGGAAGAAGAGGAGAGAGAGAAAAAAGGAAGAACATGGGAAGGGTGAATGTGTAGCATGGTTGTGGCTTTCAACAAAAGAAGTACCTGTGTCTACCGGCAGAAATGGTCCTGCTCCTGACAGGGACCCTAGCCTCCATCTAAGAACTGGATCTTTCCTAGAGGGAAGCTGGGGGTGTGGCAGGCAGGGGTCTGTATTTTTCAACCCTTTCCTCACTGCACAGAGGCCTGGGCTTGTGGGGTATCACCCAGGAAGGGTGGAGTTGAGGGAGACGCCACACTCTGGGCCTGCTGGGAAGCTAAGATAGGGAACCAGTTCGGAGACCCTGAGGCCAGACGAGGGTGAAGTTAGTTGGGGGTCGGGGCAGCCTGTGAGTGTCAGTCACTGGCCCAGATACCTGTCTGTCCTGGAGTGAGGAGGAATATAAGGAAGACAGACAGACAGATCACCCAGCGACCCTGCATGAGCCAGCAAACCTCAGCCAGGAAGTCCTTGGGGGCTTGAGGAGCTTAAAAAATCAGAGGTACAGGGATTGGAGAAAGGGATGAATAGGTTAGGTTGACAGACAGAACTTCAGAGTAGTGGCTGGGGTGCAGGCCAAGGTCATAGGACCAGGCTCAACCCCTTGCCACAGGAGGTGGCTATTAACGAGAGCTTCCCACCGTACTGAACCTGGGTGTCAACACCACCGTGTGGGTGGAGGAGGGCCAGGAGTTCAAGGCTCAGAGGCAAGTTTGCTTCCCTGGTCAACAAGGCCAAGCCTGTGTGTGTGTGTGTGTGTGTGTGTGTGTGTGTGTGTGTGTGCGCGTTTTCAGAACTGGGTAGAGACACTGTCACTTCCTCAGCAAAGGATCCACATAAAACCACTGCCCCTGCTACCTTTGCAACAGTAAGAATTGAGCTGGGATAGCAGAAGGAACTTTCCAGTTGAAAGGCTTAGAAGAAGACTGGCTTCTCAAATGGAGGGATGGAGGCTAATTCTCTAGATGCTACTGTTTTCTCACCCAGATTTGGGGAAGAAGTTAAGAACTCTCCCACATCTCTTTGTGCCCTAGAGCTCACAGGGGTTTCCTGGGTGGGCAGAGTTATCCTGGGTTTGGAATTTTTTTTCCAGAGCAGCTAACCAGGGTGCTGGAGGCTGAGCGGGGTTTCCTGTGGGAGATCGTGAGAGCCCACGGCAGAGAACCGAGTTCCGAGCTTGGTAGGTGTTAGAGTGAGGGGGCTCAGCTGGCTGTGGGCTACAGACCAGGCAGGAGCTGATGGATGACTTGGGGGACAAAAGAGGGCTCTGAGGAGAGAGAATAAGGACAATGACTCGCAGGGACGGTGACCATGAAGTCCCATGAGTCTAAGTGGCTATTTGATCCCAGTTGCCAAGAACCGTGGTGCTTTACACAGGCTCAGAAATAACCTGGGAACTTTGAAAAAATACGGAGGTCTAAGCCAGTACTCCAGACCAGTGAAGGCGGTCTCCTGGAGTAGGGTCCGGGTGCTCATGGGGATCTTTTGAAAGTCAGGGAAGGGATTCTAGCAAGCATTCAGAGCTGAGAATATAATCAGCTGAGAAAGAGACCCAAACTCCTAGCAAATGGAGCAAGGTTTTGGAATGAGGGAATGGAGATGGGGTCAAGGAATTAAGATGGCGGGACAGGCTCTGAAAGGGACATGGGATTGTGGCACTGAGAACACTTACACCTAATAGCCTAGACTTTAGTCAGGTGCAAGGCCGTGTGCTGAGGGACAGGGTGAGAGGTGGTATGGGACGCCAACAGAGGCTGAGGGACAGCTGGGTAAGAGCACTGTGACAGGCCTCACATCCTGTCTCTGGGTCTGAGACACGAGGCTGTCTTCCTCCCCTCAGAGTGAAGGGACGCTTGTGGAGTGGATGCAGGAAAGAGAGAAAGTGAAGTTCCAACCCCTGCTCTCAGGAACCTTCTGGCCTATGGACCACTCAGGAAGGATCCAGGTGGAGGAAAAAGTGGTGCGAGTGAATAAAGTCCTCAGCCCACCTTATTTGTCCTTTGTATCCCCTCCCCCAAAGCCGTTGACAGGGCCTGAACTGTCCTCACCTTTGTACTCTTATGTCTGGCACACCATTTGCACCGAGCACAAGCTGGTGGAATAACTAGCCCTCTGCACTCTGGACCCCGGCTCCAGGCTGCTGCTGTGGCCACTGATGGGAGCGGGCCCTGGGGACACTGCCTGGAGGGGACCCTGCAACAGGCCAAGCCAGACACAGCATCAGTCCAGCTGGGGGACTGCCGTGGGTCAAGCTGGCACCTTCAGGATGTCTCTGGAGGGCAAGGAAACAAAAAGGTTCCCACAGGGTTCCTAGGGTGCCCGCCAAGGGGGCTGAGGCCTCCCGCCTTGATCACTACTCACTCCTCTCCATCTGTGAAGCCTCACCCCCCTCAGCCCTTTCCTATATTTTAGGCCCAGCATATGAGATGGGGGCCCGAGGGTTGGGAGACTGATGTTTATGGAGCACCTACCATGGGCTGGAATCTCCCTGAGCTGGGCATGTCCCCTGTGTCACCTCTCTGAGGTGGGCGTTATTATTCCTGAGACAGACATCTGCTATAGCCACGGCTGCAGAGCCAGAACATGCAGCCAGAATTCCATGAGGTCTGCCTCTCCGAAGCCCACACTCTTTCCACATCACCGCCCTGCCTCCCGGTATGGGAACCACCTGCCTCTGCCCACCCAGCTGCTATGCGTTCCCAGGCTTCCCTGATGGCCTGCGGGTTCCCTGCCCATGGTTTATTGGAACTTCCATCATATTCCATCATCTGAAGCCTGATGGCTCTGTGTCCTGGGCACTGAGCTGGGTTCCTTTTATGCCTACAATTGCCCTGTAACCCATCTCAGATTTCCCCACTGTAGGCTGCCCACGGAGGCTGTGGCCCCTTGCCACCTGCCAGTCACAGAATCAGATCCCCTCAGTGGTAGGAGTTAGGGGTGTTCAAAGCAGCACTTAGATCAAGTTCCCCCCTGAAGTTCTGGTATCCTGTGCCAGAGGTGGCCAGGAAAGCTGGGTGGTGTTGGATCTGGAGTAGGAGCAGGAGGGGACAAGAAGGGAGCCTCAAAAAGGTGGTAGAGGTGGCCTGGGATGGACCTAGTGAGTGGGGAGGGGTGCTTTTGAAGGGAATGGGCTGAAGCTGACTGGGGTGGACAGTTTATCCTGAGAAGCTGGCTGGGCTCTGGGAACAGAAGTATCAAAACGAAATCCCAGACCAGCAAGAAGAATCTGGAGCAGCATGAAGGAGGTGGACACGCTTATGGGAGTGGGCTTTTCCGGGCACTGTCCTTTCTCCAGACAATGGTACGGTGACCAACCCAGCCAGCCAAAGACAGCCACCACTGCTGGCAGAGACATCTCTGCTTTTCTTTTTTTTTAAAGATTTTATTTATTTATTTGACAGACAGAGATTACACATAGGCAGAGAAGCAGGCAGAGAGAGAGAGGAGGAAGCAGGCTCCCTGCTGAGCAGAGCCCGATGTGGGGCTCGATCCCAGGACCCTGGGATCATGACCTGAGCTGAAGGCAGAGGCTTTAACCCGCTGAGCCACCCAGGCACCCCCATCTCTGCTTTTCTTGAGCACTCTGAGGAGGCTCTGGAGCTCTCATGTCTCGTAACTTGGCATTAGGAAAATTCTGCTTTGCCTCTCCACCCTTCTGCAGATACACAGGACCTCGGCTTCTGGCATGAATGCACTGTCCTGCCCAGCAATAAACACTGTTTCTTGTCTGGCTCCCTCCCCGGCTGCCCTTCTCAGGGCTGGAGGTTCCCAGGTCCCACCGCCCACCCTCGCTGGCCTGGTTCTCCTGTGCTCACTCTGTCAGGTGGGGGCTAATCCCAGCACAGCTGGAGGGAGGAAAATTATCTTTCAAACCAAAGTTTCTCCTTTCCTTTGCCGAGGCTATTTCCCGTCCCCCCACGCTAGACTGGAATACGGTCCCTGTCCTCATGGGTGCTAGTGGAGGAGGAGAAAGAGCCACCCAAAAATGAAGAACGAGCCATGAAACAGGTCATTCAGAAGCACAGATGACCTAAGGATTTTTTCCATTTATTAGAAACAGAAAATATTTATCCTCTAGGAACTAGCTCTCCTCACACGGCCCTGATTTTTGTTTGTTTGTTTGTTTGTTTGTTTGAGTGGCTCTTTGATTGTCTTGGAATCTAGCCAAATCAGGAGGGAGGGGCCTCCAGGCTGCCATGGAAAATCCTCAAAAGAAAGACAAGGTGGGTGAATCATGGCTTTCAGGACAGATAGGAAAAGGACAAGGACAAGGAAGGGATGGGATAAGGGTAGGTGGTGAGGGGATCCCTGCTGGACGTTCTTCCCCAGACAAACAAGTGGAGCAGCAGGGAAAGGGGCAGATTTGAAGAGGGTTGGTGGGGATACTCACTCTCTGAAGCCAGAAAGCCCAGAGTGTTCCCTCTGCACGTCGTCAGTGGCCGGGTCAGCCCAGGCCCCTTGCTCTCTCTGAGATGCCCTCCTTCATAGTCCAGGGTAATGGAGGGCGTCTTTCCAGCTCAGTGGGAGGCAGGTTGGGCACTACCCTTTGAGTATACTTCACACTTTGTCAGCAGCAATGGAGCCCCTGGGTAAATGGGCCAGACTGGAAGAGGGGTGCCATGGAGAGCTCTGAAACCTCTGCGCTCCAGGACCGGAGGGCAGGATGCAGAGAGCCCACTATCCGTTAGGATTTCAAATCAGATACTACGGTGGCCAGCCTTTCATTTTGCCAAAATGGGACATTTAAAAAAAAAAAAAGCAACAATTACCATCT